CCCCAAAACCCCAAAACCCCGAGACGCTATTAATAGATAAATTTTAGTTGATGACAAAATAATTCTTGAATTAAATAGTCCTTTGATTAATTTTTCAGGTTACGAAGATGATTACAATTATTAATTTATAAATACTTGGCTAATATCAAACTCTATAATTTAAAATCAAATATTAAAACTTATGATTGAAGATAGATATTAACTACTCAAGATTATTGGAGCTGGTGCAGCCGGTAAAGTTTGGGAAATATAAGATATAAAGAGTGGGTATAAATATGCTTTGAAATCAGTAATTATTATCTTTCTCATCATTACCATAGTAAATATGCAATATTGATTTTGAGACAGAGAGGAATATTTATCAGATGTTATAAAAGAAGAATGCTAAAGGATTCCCATAGTTTATAGGATCTAAAATAACTTCAAAGGATGAAGCATATATTATCCTTGAGAAGATGGGACCATCGCTTGCTAGGTATTTATAAATTACTAAAACAAAATTATCGATGTGCAACATTCTACAAATTGGGATATAACTAGTAAAACATTTTTGCTCAAATAATGTGTTGTCTTTAGATGAAATAAATAGAGCAACTTCATGCTATTGGCTATATTCACAGAGATATTAAACTAGAAAATATACTACTAAAGGAAAATAAAAAAGTTGCACTTTCTAAACTCAAGATTAGTCTGGTAGACTTTGGAGCATGCAGAAAGTATCTAGATTCAAAGGGGAATCACATCTAAAAGGTTAAAGTAAACTCTTTTCAAGGCAACTTAGCTTTTGCAAGTCTTGATCAAATGCTTTGCTATGGTAAGCTTTATATTATTAATGATTTTATAGCTCCATCAAGAAAAGATGATATTATCTCTTTACTTTACATGCTAATACATTTAAAAAATAATTCTTTGCCTTGGATAGCATTGAAAGTAAGAAAACTTGATCAAGCAATGTAAATCTACAAGAAGATTATAATGTCTAAATAGGCATATTAAAAATCTTTTAAATTGTGCTCAGAGAATCCATGTTAGTATTTAGATTGTTAAAATTATAGGTGTATTAAGAAATCTGCTGGCAGAAGTAGAAAAAATAAAATTTGAGGATTACCCAGATTATGAATCTATCATTAAAGCAATGAAAAGAGAACTTTTGGAAATTTAGCAACCAAGAGAATAATAAAAATGGTAATAATCAACTTCGAGCATTAATTGCAAACCATCACCATCACCTTTCACTGATAGTCCTATATAAACTAAAAGATATGAAGCAATCACTTAAAAAAATACACCAGTAAGCAAACAAGAAAAATCAATAGGTAACTAGCTGTTAAAATAAGATTTCGAAGACATCGTTGAAAAGAATAAAATTAGTGACCAATCAGTGAATAAAAGAGATATTTTAGACCCTGCTTTTAATACCTTAGGAAATTAAAAGTAAAAATGTAGAGAGTAAATTGACTATTAGAGTCATGACTTTCTTGACTATGAATTGAATAAACTATCTCCCCAAAGTATGCTTTTCATTTCAAATGAGAAGATTGATGAGAAAATTTTAAATTTCCAATAAGAACTATCGATTGATTAAAAGTAATATTTGCCATTGAATGATGATTAAAATGGAATAAATCTAAAATCAGAACATGACAAGCTTCAATACTAGAATAAGAAAGCTTATAAGTATTTAAATCAATAAGATGATTAAAATGCTTTTGAATATTATCTGAAATAGATCAATAGATTAGAAATGAATAATGATTTTTAGCTATAATGCCTGTTTAAACCATCTTATTCTCAGCAAAATGAATAAATAAGAAGGCTTGTAATGATTGATTCAACTGATTTTGAAGATATGGAGATTAATGAGGAGTATTATTAGGAGGATAAATCCTATAAATTACCAAAATTAGACATAGTATATGAATTTGATTGTCATTCTAATAATCTCAAAAGTATATGTCATGCATTTTGACAGAAAGATTGGTGAGAAATAAAGTCAATTTCTGATTTGATTATGTTTGTGTAATAATTTTATTAAGAGTTAGTCAAGACTCTAAGTTAATTGATATTAATAAAATTTTTCATTGTTGATTTCAAACATTTTTTAAAATCTGTTCAAATTATTCAATCTATCACATGGGGTTTTGGGGTTTTGGGGTTTTGGGGTTTTGGGG